GGGGGTCCCTGCCTGCCCGGGGATCACCTGGGCCCCTTTGCAGGAATTTACTATGATTTATTTTGTCTCAAAATGGCCACTTTCCTCCCTTTCCCACTCCCTCTGGCCTTTCAAAATGTAAGACCAGGGTGGAGAGCAGATTTTTTTTTTTTTTTTTTTTGCAATATGGCTTTCCCCCAGATGTACCCGAGAGGCGAAGGCATCGGAGCCCTCGTCCTCGCCAGGCTGCACCCACGACGAGGCGGGGAGCGGCGGTCCCACCTCGGGCTGCAGCATCGCCCCAGCTCCCCGCCCCAGCCGGGGCTCAGCACGGCTTTAACGTGGGTTCGCAGCCGCTCAGCACTTCTCATCACAGGCTCTGGACTGTCTCCTGTTATCGATCTGCTGCTTCTGCCTGCAGAGAAACCACGCCTGGGCACCGGCACACGGGTCCCTGCGCTGAGCTGGGACTTCAGCGAGACTGGCCGGGAGGAGAAACGGCGCCTAAGGAGGTTGCACAAGGCTGACCCCGATAGCTGGCAGAAAATGAGACTAAAAGGGTTTTCCACGTTGCAGCCCTTAGTGGTGGGCGCAAGAAAAATACGAGTCCTTTTGCAGTTGGCTTCTCCAGAGACCCGGCGGTCTCTTACCCCCAGTGCCCGGGCCGACACAAGGCAGGGGTTAATGAGCCGGGTGCCCAAGGAAAGCCAGAAGCCCTGATCCTGTTTAGGGGACAATGGGGGCTCTCAGGAGCTGGGCTGGGCTCCCCTGAAGTGTCCCCAAAATCCACGGCTTGGGAACGTCCTCCAGAGCTTTCTGCTCCTGCTCATAGGCTGCAGGAACATTAGCAGGTAGCTGACCCTTCTCCCCGTCCCCCTTTCTCCCAGCCCAACGAGACCTAAGGCACTGCAAACAGGGTTATTCCCCTCTCAGCAGCTTTGCCAGTGATGCTCAGGTGGTGGCTGGATGGTGCTGAGTACATCGAACAAGGGGTGCAGTGCAACGAGCGGGCAAACGGCAGTCTCAATATTTTGTTCCCTGTGGTGCAGAATGCCTACGGCTCCGAAGGGATTATGGAGCCCATCTTTTCTGCGGTGCTTTAGGAGAGGGCTAGGGGAAAGCCGGGCGGGCTGGAGGCCCCAGGGCCACCCAACACCTTCAGGGAGCGGCTCCCAGGTTTTGCCCGGGTGGCAAGGACAAGGCTGGGCTCTTCGCACAGTGGGAGCAACAGCAGCCGTCGGCCGATGGCTGCGGGGCTGCCGCTGGTCTTGCTCGTGCGGTTTTGACACCTCGGTAAGCCACGCACGTTCAGGAGGGTGTCTGCTGATCTACACGCCCTCCCGGGTTACCGTGAGAGGATAAATCAGATTTTTAAGCCTTCGTTTTAAACCTTTCACTAGCCTGCCCTGGACCAGACCCCGCTAAATGAGATCAGTTGCTGTAGGGCTCTGCTGCTCGGCCCCCTGCAACGTCCTACCGGCCCCGGCAAGGCTGGGAATTGCCACCTCCTCCGACCGCTGGCCTTGGCAGCGTCTGGGGTTCGTTAAAGCAAATCACTTGCACGTGGAGTGTGAGGAGGGGGCGGCCGCTGTGCGTTTCCCCCGCAGGACCGAGATGGGGAGATGCGTGGAGGATGCAGGAGCGAGGGATGTGCAGAGGTGTCGGCGGGGAGGTGGCGATACATACCCCGGCTCAGTGGGACGCGGACATGGACCAAGCCCCTTCCATCCTCCAGACGGAGAAGGCGTAGCTGAGCCTCTCGTGGGCCAGGTAGTTGCAGCTGGTGATCTTGTGGTCCAGCTCATCGCTCTGCAGGACCTGGTACAAGAAGTCTATGTAACGGGCGGCCAGCTTGAGGGTTTGGATCTTGCTCAGCTTGTCGGAGGGCAGCGTCGGGATGATCTTCCGCAGCTCCGCGAAGGCGTCGTTGAGCGACTGGGTCCGCTGGCGTTCCCGCACATTGGCGATCACACGCTGCGTGTGCACGTCCTCGAAAGACTGCGGGACAGGGCTGCGCTTGCTCCGCTTGCCCTGCGGCGAGGGCGCACCGCAGTCCTCCGCCGGCTTGCCCCCCTGGCCACGCTTGCGGAGGCATTTCTTGTGCAGCCGCTCGCCTTCCTCCTCGCTGGTGACCAGGCTGCCTTCGGGGGAGTCCGGGCACATGCTTTCCTCTTTCATCTTCTCGGCACCTTGCAGGCGAAGGGCTGTGGGGTCTCACGAGATGCGACGGCCACAGCACATCGGCAAGGCGGCCTGGAGAGCAGCCAGCGCCCACTCAAGAGGTGCAGCCTGGAGCATCCACCCTTCCACCTCCCCAGACTCCCCAAGCCTTGCGGAGCCCTCCAAGGAGCTCGGTTGGTTTTTCCTTTGGGCTACGGAGAGGAAGGCGTTCGAATAACTTTGGGGAATGGCTCTTGCTGATAGGGCGAGGAGGACCGTGGGCGGACCAGGCACAGACCAATGCAGCCGTGCAAGGTAATGCAAACATCAGTGGAGCTTATGGGTTCCAGATTTCCTCCCTCCCTCCTCCACCGACACCCCCAAGCCCTCCGGCACAGATGCTCCTGCCTGCTGCCCGGATGTCAGGGGACATTGCCTATGCTAATGTGAGCACCAGCCATGGAGTTCAGGGGAGGCTTTTTTGGGTTTTAGTCTTTTTTTTTCTTTTTTAAGCCCAGTTGACCCTGCAAAAACCAGCCAGAAATATTCACTTGTCCAGTTTGGAATAGGAGACTTTTATCTATGAGAGATTCAAGTGGAAATGTGGAGCAATGGATGTGTCGATGAGCAGTACAGGGTATTCTCTGAGTCCAAAGGAAGACGCAACAGTGACAGGCATCCATACTGCTCTTGAGAAATGGCATAATTCAAAATGAACTTGAGTTTGCATCCATCTATGCATCTGCCCAGTCATCTGCCCAGTCATCCATCCATCTATCCATCCATCCATCCCTCTGTCCATCCCTCTTCCTCTTTCTACATTTCTGGCAGTCTACAAGAGCCCTTATTATACAGATGGAAGCCAATACTCATCCACCATCAAATTCCTCTCAAATAAATACGGCAGCTATTGCAGATAGAGAGTGGAACAGGTCCAGACCCTGCTCCTGGCTGGATCCACAGCCAGTTCTGCCCTTGATTTGCCCTGGAAATCAAGCACTATAAGCAGTATTGCTTCCTTTTACACCACTCTGAGCTTGCCTACAAATGAACCCGCTTTCTCCTCCCTGCAGAAATGCTGGGAGAGCTGCAGCCTCTCTTCGCCAAGTTTAGAGGGCCAGATTCAGACTACCAAGGCATAAAATATTCTGGCCAGGTCCCTCCTTATATCAGATAGTTTTCAACCCTCTGTTATCACACCAGTAGAATCAACACATGAAACTGGAGTCCATTTGTGACCCACCATCCTGCCATGCCCAGCCACCCGTTCCCAAAAAAGTCCTACACCCTTGGGAACCCCCGTAACCTTCCCGTCTCCTGCCTGTGCCCTCTCTGCCTCTCCAAGGTGCCTCTTCCCCAGTGCGTGTTGACCCCATCCAAGCTGTCTCTGCTCACCACGCTCTCCTGGCATCGCCCCCTGCTCCTGGTCATCGGGAGCTTCACCCTGAGTCTCTTTGGAGGGGCACTGAAGGCCTGGCACCACGATCCCTGGGGATATTGGGGTCCAACCCCAGCAGAGCTCCGTAACCTTCACGAAAGCCTTGCTTTGTTGGTCTGTCTTATAATGAGAGCACAAAGGGGTGTTACAGGAACAATAGGGTTTAAAACAGTGTCAGTAATTCATCAAAATAATTAAAAAGAATATCAATAAAACATAAATCGTTGAGCTGACATATGCCTTTATCTGTATAGATACTTTTAAAATTAGCTCCTTTTTATAACACATAACAAGTTTCCATATATAATACATTTTACTAACAGACATATATAACGTACTATAGAGCTCTCCTGCAGTGCTGAGCCTGCACGGTGCCATGGTGGGATCCGCACCTACCCCAGACTGGCAGCGATGGGGATGCGGCAGCTCAGGCTGAGCACGACCAGGAGGCTGCAGGAGAAAAACGTCCTTTAAAAGGCAACGACCTTTATTTTCCCTTGCCGCATACAACAGATTAATATTCTCATCTTGTCAGTATTATCTTCACCCTGAATAACCTACGCTGTTGTACTGCGGTCTTCTCTTGACGCTCTGTTCAAGACCCTCTGTCCCGCTCCCCACAGCTGGAGGAGGAGGAGGGCGTCCTCGCTCCTCTTTGAGATGGGGCTGAATAAAAGCGAGAGCGACTTGGCCAACTTTGCTCAAGCAAGCTACGCCTGTTTCCAGTAGAAAATAACTCAATTCAAGCTCAGCTACAAGGTGTTTCTTAAAACCATGCTCCGTAGACCTGCCAAGCACCTGTAGCCGTGCTGACCAGACACACATCCCGTTGTCCGTCAGAGCTCACAGCAAAACCCTTTCCAACCCCTTTGCCTTCCTGATTACCCCCCACCCAGATGCTGCTTTTCCACTCGGGATACAGGCACCGTACGGATGCTTTCCTCTGTTTTAAGGAAATGTGTATTTTCACGTTCTTCCACGGGTTTCTCTCGAACATCCTTCATGCTGGGTGGGGCCCCAAGGGAAATGGCAACCTCAAAGCGCTTCGTTGGGGATGGCAGTAGCCACGGAGGGGAGCTAGCAGAGAGCCAACGTTTGAAAAATGCCCAATATTGCTTAAAGAAGTAAAAGATGCGCAGAAACAGGTTGCTACTCAGACCTGCTGGGATGGAGGCCGGTGACGTTGCTCCTTCCTCCTCACCGACGCCCGCGGTGCCGGCAGGGCATCGGCTCAACGCATTACTCACACGCGAGCGTTGTCAAGACAGCGACTAAAATCAGATGTTCGTAACGCGGAAAGACAATAGATCACAGGGGCCTGGGAAAGCGAGAAAACAAAGGGCGAGGAAAAAATACCCCAGGGAGGGCAGGATTCAGGCAGGATCCAGGGTCCTCTGATCCCGCGCTTGGAGGAGCTGGCTCAGCTCTGCCGAGGGCTGGGGAGCTGCCAATTAACACCAGCTGGGGCATGGGCTTGTGCCGGGGGTTTATTTTTTTATTAATTTTTTTTATTATTATTGTTTTCCTTTTTAAAAAAATAAGTTTAATTTAATTTTGCTGGCAAATGGTTTGGGACAAAGGAAGTGAAGTTTGGTATTGTTTCTGATATCCTTGAGCTAAAGGAGAAATACAATGAGCTTTGATCTGCGGGAAGGATCAGCTAAGCACCCCGAACTGCTCGAGCAGGCTTTTTTTTACCCAGATTTGGATGTTTTGTGGCAAGAATATTTTTCCCTTAAACATTTTAATTTGTTCTTTCAGTGAGCGTTTTTTTTGAGGAATATTAATATAAACTTTTCATGGAAAGGTCATGAGTCACCAAACTGGTTTCAATAACTTTGCTTTTCCAGCTAGCTGGGGGTTTTACAGCGCTCGTTTTGACAGATCAGTGAAAATTTCAGACCTTAAATATGCAGAGAAAAAAAAAAAAAAGCCTAGCTCGCTTGATTCAGTGAGAAACCACCAGATGGAAGATTTGAATTCCCACCATGTCCCAGCCCCTCTGCCCACCTCCCCTCCTGGTCCTCCTCTGCCCTCTCCCTGCTCACATCCATCTTTCCTGAGCAGCTTTTCTTGGGTGTCCGTAGGAAACGTCCCCGGCGCTGGGGTGTCCTCAGCAGATCTGAGCCTGGAAGATGGTTCACAGGGCTCCTGCGGGGCCAGTTTGCACTTGGGAAAGAAAGGAAAGGTGAAAAAAAAGAAAGCAAGGACACTGCCAAAGCACACATGGGCAGAGAGCAAGGGAGCAGGGAGTCCATCGCCTGGAAAAACAGGGCTGAGGCACACCAGTAACCTCAGAGAGGCTCTCGGACCTCAAATGGGAGCTCTATTGCAGGGTCGAGGTGGGAACCAGGGTTTCTTTAGAAAGGGGTTGAGGTGTCCCCTCAAAACCACATCCTTTGGCCAGCTGAAAGCGCATCTTGGTCAACCTGAGCCTATTCCTGTCTCTGAGCCTCACACCGCCGGAGATGCTCTTCACCAGCCTTCAGGCCTGGATGTGTCTGACCCCTCTCTGCATCTGCTTGGGTGCAAAACAAGCAAAGTCCTTTCAGTCTCTTCCCCATAAGCAGATCTCCAAAAACCCCTGGTGATCCCAGCTCCACTCCGTGCTGTCCCCGTGGGGGACCAGGCTTCCCTCTCAGTCCCCGGAGAGCTGAGCTTTGGCACACACGCTTACTCACCTCCTTTCGGTCCCACTCGCCAGCTCACACAAACCTCAGGCTGTGTCCTGGGATGTCCTGGCCTCTCTCCATCTTCTGCAGGGCTGGTCCACCAGAGCAGGAGGTGGTTGCTCTCTGCACGGTCTGAAGGACAGCGTGGCACTGCCATGCCTCCAGGTCCAGCTCTGTCCCACGCAGGTCACCCCATGGGAGCACAGAGGAACCACTTAATAGCTCAAATAAATAGAAAACACTTATTTGAGCAATCTGCTTCCTATTCACTGGTGATGTCACATCTCCGGGCTTTTCTGAGTTGGATCTAGAGCAGGAGGCTCTGCCCCGACCTTGCCAGGCGCACTGAGCTGGGTGGCTGTGGTGGGAGGAGGGCTCACGGGGTAGATGGGGTCCTTGGGTTAATGCACGCTGCAGACGAGCTCCGTATGGAGCTGATGCTCCACCACTGCAGGTGGAAGGAAGGTGGACAGGAGGTTTCTGCATCCTTGGGTTTTGGGGGGTTGAAGCCATGATTCTTCTTGGGTTGTGTGGCATAAACCAGGGCTGCATCTGCTGTAACGGTGTGAAGAGGAGCGACTGAGAGAGCTGGGCTCAACCCGGACAACCTCCACAGATGCAACGACTTGCCCTTGGTGGGCAGGGTGGGGCTGGGACAGGCCATACCTGTGTGCAAATGCCATTTTGGGCAAGGGAAGCTGAGAAAGTGCCACCCCCAGCTCCACCCTTGGTTTGCAGGCTGGTAACAGGCAGCTGCAAACCTGCGCGCCGCTGCGGCGAGCGGGGGCTGCGCGGGGATAACACGGTCCATGTGTGAGCCCGGTGCTGTCAATAGCATCGCTTTGATGGCCAAGGACCTGATTGCTTCTGCAAATAATTCTGGGCACAAAATCAGAGGCCAAGCTTCAATGC